TCTGTCAGCTCATACATATCCACCCCGTGGGAACTCACACACTGTGTATTCCATCTATAAATAGAATGAAATCTAATAGTTCTGCTTCTCTTTTTAGTGAAGTAAGAAAGCAAGAATAACTTTAACTGATAGCTACCATGACTTACCCAGGGCTAGCTGGAGGATCAGGATCTGTGAATTTCTTCTAGCATGTTTTTTGGTCCACATATCTAGGTTCTGAGTTACATGGTTTCCCCACCCCCTATCTCCTCCCCAAACTCTAGTAAAGCATAAACAAGTAGATGTCAATGCCTGCTCTTGCCCGCCAGGCTCTGAGGGAAGGTCCTGGCAGCATTTCTATCATGAGCCTTTCTAAGGGTTTATAACTCAGCCATAAATACTTGTCATTGGCAGAAACGTAGCCTGGAGGGTCACAATCCTGGAGTAAATTCTTCGTTTATATATCTCACTGACATGCTTTAAATTGTTTTAACTGTGTTTATCTTTTTTGATGGGAGGGAAAATAATGGCTTCATGGTTCAAGACACTTTTGTCCTCCTATGAATCAACACAGCATTGGGATGAAAGAGAAAAAACATCAGAAAAAAAGTGGCTACTGAGAATAGACAATAATTCTTTAAGAGAGGGGATTGAGGGCCGACGTTAGTCAATCTCAGATCTATTAGCAGAACTTAGAGAAAGCGAGTGTTGTGAGCTGTTGATTAACTCCCTAAACATCCATACCCATTTGCTTTTCCTTTTCCTTTTTGTTTTTAGTCTCATCCAGGGCCCAGCAGGTTACGTGGTTCCACCAGCCTGACTCTAAGAACTGTTCACGTTAAGGCAGCTGCAGCCGAGTGTGGCAGGGAAAGGCATGAGAAGCCGGATGGGCCGTAGGCTGGGAAACTCTAGATTGTGATGTCTCTGTAGTGGGACTGCATCTCTAGCTGACCCTTATGCCTTAACCATACTTCTTCTGGGAAAATGCTTGTTCCTTGCATGTTTTTAATTTATCCAGGACCTTTCAAAAATGTAAGCTCCTTAAATCAGTTTCTGTGATACAAGAAGAAATATATGTTCAGTCTCTGCCCCAGGTTCCTCTCACAGAGCTCCTAAACTCTTGCAATTTTGTAAGTCATAGGAGCACTAGGAGCGTCTTTGGTATAATATTTTATCTTGGTTCCCAGTTCCTTGGACACAGGAGGTTCTAAGACCCTGGGAATCTCCAGAGTGATGAGTGTCCTCTTGTACGTTAATGAGGTGACTGGTGGCTGAAAACACCTAGATGCGTCAGATGGGGGCTGGTTGCCAGAGGAATCAATCATGTGATTAGAGGGTTGGAACTTTCAGCCCATCCCCCTGACCTCTGGGGAGGCCCAAGGAGCAAGGGGCTGGGGATTGGATTAGTTACCCATGGCCAATGATTTAATCAATCATGCCCATGTAATGGAACCTCCAGAAAAACCCTAAGTGACAGGGTTCAGAGAGCTTCCAGGTTGGTGAACAGAAGGAGGTGCTGGGAGGGTGGCACATCCCCCGAGGGCATGGAAGCTCCATGTGTACCACCCCCATTACTTGCCTTATGTATCTCTTCCATTTGGCTGTTTTTGAGTTGTATCTTTTATAATAAACCAGTAATAGTAGATAAAGTGTTTCCCTGAGTTCTGTGAAATGTTACAGCAAACTGTTGAACTGAGGAAGGGGTCATGAGAACTCCGATTTGTAGCTGGTTGGTCAGAAGTACAAGGGGCCTGGACTTGGGAATGGAGTCTGAGGGGGGCAGGCTGTGTTGTGGAGCTGATCCCTTAATCTGTGGGGTCTGTGCCAGCTCTGGGGAAGTTAGTGTCAGAAGTGCTGTGAGTAGAGAAACAGTTTTCATCTTTTGGTGTTTTCCCTTTAGGTACCAAATTTGTTTTTACCCACCACTTCATCTATAATGCCAGCTACATAGTATGCCTTGAAATGCTATGTGTTAAAAGATGAATGAATAAACAGATCTGACTCCAACAGGTCAAACATTACTACAAGAGGTTAGAAAGAGGTAAAATATTTCACATGAAAGAATGCATTTGAAGTTTGCGTTTATAATTGAGCAGTGTGAAACAAATAGCCATGCTTTTCAGTGGTTTCTACTTTTTCATTCATATAATTTAGAGCTTAATAAAGAATGCCATCTTAATTCTTAAGGACTCTGAGCATACTTCTACAAAGATGCTCTTTACATTGTGCACTTTCAATATAACCCCTAAAATTCGGCAGGTTATTCTGTTTTAAGTATCCAGACCTTTAAATTTTTGTACTATTCTTTTTTTCTGATTAACAAAAGCAATGCATCATCTAGAAAGTTTGGAAAATATCAAAAAAGCTTAAAGAGGCAATGCTTTCAATTCTACTCCCTGAAGATCATCAATTAAAAATTTTGGCATGTTGTTGCCTGCAGGCTTTTTTCCTGTAAGTTCTACACTTGATTGAGATATTATGGCTTGCGCAATTGTGAGTTCTGGTTTTGAAATGCTGCTTAACTTTATATCTATAGTCAGCAGTTTTCCATCTCATTGGAATTCTTTACACATTTCTTTCTAATGTCTGCAGCTCTGATTTTCAAAGAGTGGGTCCCTGACCAGCATCATAGGCATCATGTGGGAGCTGCAAATTCTGGGATCCACCCAGATGTACAAAATCAGAAATTCTGAGAGGGGCTCAGCAACCTGTGCTTTAACAAGCCCCCAGGGGATTCTGATGCAAATTAAGTTTGGGAACCACAGCTGTGTAGTCTTGCTCATTAGTCTACTGCTCAGAAATAAGGATTTCCTTTTTGCTATTACAAATGTTTCACAAAACTCTTTGTTCACGTTTCTTAGTTTTTCTTTAGAATAAAGTAATTAATCAAATGTGCAAGCACCTAGTGGAAAGGTGTGATACACGGAGACCCACTTCTATCCAGATCCAGGTTGTAGCAGTTTCCAATCCTACTAACAGAGCTTGAGATGTCTATCTCACCAGTCTCCCTTTTATACAAACTTATTCTTTAAGTGCATTTAATTATTAAGTTCTTGGTATCTTTCTTATTGCCTTATATAGCTTTTTCTTAATAGCAACAATATGTTGAAAATGCTAACCAATTTTTTTGTTTGTCTTTACATGCTGTTTGTGATCATTTGACCCACATGTATTTTTTATTTTGACCTGGTCAATACTATATATTTATTTATTTTTATAAATTGGAAGCTCATTTCTCATTCCAGAGATTAAGTAATATTTACTTACAGTTTCTTCTAATGTTTACATGAAAAAATTTAGATCTCTGGTCCACCCAGATTTTTTTTTACTGTAACGAGGATCTAAATAGCATTTGAAAAGTAGTTAAACAATTTTCCCAGAACACTGTCAATGAACTTTTTAATCATAACTTTAGTTTTCTCACTGTGATTGCCTGATTGATTTAACCTTAGCATCTACTATATTTAAATTATGTCAGTATGGCAAGTGTGGTCCTTTCATAGTCTTGTGTTATAAGGCAAAATCATTTCAGGTATTTTATTTATTTTTTACCATGTGCCAAGAGCTTAAAACATTTAATTTCTTATTTGGTGGGGAGAAAATCTCATTGTTCCTTCTGTAGCGGAGGTTCAGTGTATTTTTGTTCTGAATTAGTTTAGCTTTCCCACGCCCCATCACGTTTGGACAAAGGCCATTCTTAGACTCTATGTACAAAGTTGTTAAAGTGTTCACTTATTTTTCAGCTTTTATTGACCTTATAACTAAACAAATTGAAATAATTAAAATGTTTATTATTTGACTCAGTTTCCCTTTGCAGTAAAGGTTACAGAAGAACAGACAGATGGAGACTTTGAGCTCCTATCATGAAAAAGTCGCAGCTAAATAGTGGGTTAGGAAGGAAGAAATAATCCGAGGAAAAGATTGGGAAGAATCCATTGAAAAGCATGATTTTCTTGTTCCCACAGGATTTCAGACAGCCTGAGAATGCTTGTGAGCATTTTAGCTTTAATTTCAAGAGAGAGGGAAATTCTGCTGTTCTCTGCCATGGCCTGCCCCCTTCCTTTAGGAGGGGACATGGACAAGTTTGCTGTCCCAAAGAGACATGGCAATAAAGACAGCTCCTAGGCTTCAATTCGATCCCATTCGGATCAAGAGCACATATAGATGGAGTTTCTTCTCCTTGCAAGGAGCTCTGTGGGTGGTGGTGGGTGAGGGGTGCTGTGGGCAGGACAACATCTTAAAGATAAAATGGTCTCTGACCTCACTGGATCCTGCTCCAGAGGGACGTTTCTCTAGTAGTTCATTGCTCCTTTGAATATTGCCTCATTAGAGTCTTACCACAATTCTATGATGTAATTAGAACTGTTGTCATTGTCATCACTTGACAGATGAAGAAAGGCATGCAGAGCAGATCAAGGAATTAGATGGAGGTCAAACAGCTAAATAGTGAAAGAACCAGGATGAGATTTTCAGATTCGTGGACCATTGTTCTTTCCACTCAAGCACTGAATTGGAGGAATGTATTTTTCCTGATTATGTTTTATCATTAGCTCCAATTGAGTAGAAAATGTTTCTTATACAAAATTCTACTTATAAATATCAAAGTTGTATACTGTTGTGTATTGAATGTACATAATAGATCAGACTTAAGAAGTAATCTTCATTTACATACCATTTTGATAGTTATTTTTTTCTACAAAAGAGTCTGTGTACGTGATCGCAAGCTCATTAGAATGAAGTGGTATCTGTCTCGAACATACGCACTTTCTCTTCTTCTTCTTCTTAAGATGTTAAACCTAACCGAATCAAGGAGCTAATAAAAATCTGAGAGGAATCAGAAATATTTAGGAGACTGTAAAAGAAAAACTGTCTTTTTCTCTGATCTTGTCCTATTTTTATTGAATTCTTACTTTTAAATTGTTCCTCTAAGATGATTAATGTACCCATTCCTAATTTTCCCACCTTCGTTTTTTCAGGCTTTATCTGAATTCCTAATTCCTGCTATAATTTTTTTCTTCTAGGTAAAACTGATAACCGACATATCCTCTTCGTGGCTGGAGGGACAGTTTTATTGTTGCTGTTTGTTATCCTGATTACCACCATCATTGTCATTCTTTATAAAAGGTGAGTATCACAACTCCTCCTGAGTCTTGTTTACCCTCAGTAATTCTGATGGTACAGGTTCTCTGTTAATAGCCTAGTAGCTGGTCAAGCTGTCTCAGCACTCACATACAGTTTTTTCAGTGCTGTTCTTACAGAAAGGAGGAGAAGGCGCTGTGGTAATATTGGAGGAGAAAGCTAAAGTAGTTTGTTTAAGAATTAGTAGGAGCTGGCAGTCTGCCCCCATATTAACAAAGCTTTCACATTCTGGGCAGCCAACTGCCTGATGCCTCCACCCTGTCTGCTACCCCAGCTATCTTTCTCCACCTGCAAGGAAAGAAGGCTGTCCTTGAGGGGGTGTGTGTGTGTGTGCATGTGCCAGAGAGAGAGATTCTGAGAAGAGGAAGAGCAAGGTTGAACAGTAATAATATCTTCATTTATTCATTCATCAAATATTTATTATGACAGTGTGAGGAAGACGTAATGAAGCACACGTTCTAATAAGCTAACAATATCATTTTCAATGATCGTATATTCTCTGAAACAATCTAGGTGGTATTATTAAAAATTCTTGAGGAAGAAAGGGATCAGAAGGGGCTACCTTAGAGAGAGCAGGCAGCCATTTGGCTTGTAACAAAGGTTTCTACCTTTACTGTCTTATGGCACATTTGGGAATTTTCTAGGGTCTTCTTGGTTGACTCTTTCTTCCCTCTCCAGTTCTCCCATCATCAACTTACTTGTCTATGTATTTGTTGCAATCTTAGCTGTAATCATATTGGGTTGGAATTCTTCCTTATACTTTTGTTCCAACCAGTGTTATCTTCTTAAAGGAAGAAGAGACTAAACATTTGATGTCCACATTTTGCATGTCTATCACATCATGCACACTTAATATATGTTTGTCGAGTGAATGAATATATTGATCTCCACTCGTTTCGCCTCCCCCAGGGGTATTCCCAAGCACGCACACTGCACATGCGCGCTTACCGATAGGCTTTCCAGTAGACCTCTCCATCTTGTCTCCATCTCCCCGGCCTCCACCTCTTCTGAGGCTCTTGCCGCGGCTCACCCGATTTTAGTAATACTCCCCACTCTGCTCTCCTGCCCCCAGGAATCTCCTCTCTTTTGACTTATCTGATTTTTTCTGCTTCCTCTTCTAAAAGCTAGACAGGCAGTGTCAGCCTCCTGTTTAAAACCTTTTATCAACTTCCCACTGCCACCAGAATAATGGTAAAACTCATTAATCCTGTCCTCAGAGGTGCCCTACTTTCTGACCCCAACCTAACATTCATTCATACCTTCTACTTTACTTATTTCTCCCAATGTGGACAAATTTTGTTAAAACTGCAACTTTTATTCTTTGAGCACACCTGACTCTCTTCCCGTTTGATGTGCCACCAAAATGCTGTTTCCTCCATCTTTGGCCTTAATCCTCTGGGACAGGTGTCATTCAAGATGTGGGACACAAGCTCCCTCTAGAGGGTCTGTCCTGCTTCCCTCTCCCTGCACAGAGACATGACGTCACTGTCTGGAATCACACGTACTTCTCATCTGCTACAGCTTGTAGCCTGCTTTGTAGTTTAATCATTTTTATGCTTGTCTTCCCTTCTATTCATAATGGCAGGGCTCGTGTTTTATTCATTTTTTAGTGTTGGGTAGCATTTAGTACTAATCTTTCCAAATAATGGATGGTCAATAAGCATTTGTCTAATTAAATTGAAACATGAAACTATCGTTTTTCTTTTCTCTCCATCATGGGCTGCCCTCAAGTCTTTCCCTGGTCAGAAATTAGCAAATTGAGGTAGGGAACCCAGGGTGTTAGTGACACTGAGGACTTCTCTACTGCTTCACCTTGGTTGGTAAAAAAATGCACTGAGGGCAGATGTGACAGCAGGAGCACACAGGAACAAGGACAAGATGACTAAGAGAGAGTGAGTGACAGAACGGATCTCTGGAGGGTCACAGATGTTGGACATGATGGATTTAGCTTCATGAAAATGCATCACTTTTACATGAATAGCTAAATTGAACTGTAGAATATATTGTCCCACTTGGTTAAATGTGATAAAAAGAAGATTAGTGGACTTGAATGCATAATCATGGCCGAACACCACAAAGGAAAAGGCACTTGTTCTCTCTACCTTGTCACTAGTATCAGTTTGTGATTGTTACTCAGAATGGAAGCGTTGGGAAAAATGACGCAAGGGCTTAAACCTTCTGAACTCTGTCTTAGGGACCGTTTCAAATAATCCGGCAGCTTCTGATGTACTGACTTGGATAGAAGCCAAAATAAATCGGAGTGCCCAAACGAAACTGAACCCTTCCCTCACACCCAGTGCCTACGAGCCTGTGTGTCCAGAGGCATTTGAAGCACTTTCTCTGCTCCCAGTGTGTGTTATTTCCAGTTGGAGATCAGAATAGTGACACCATCAAGTGAGCATGCTGGGAAAGTGCAGAGCTCTGGGAAGTGTGACAGGAGCCGAGACACAATGCGGAGATTGACACCTGTGTTTGTAAGAAGAAATTTAATATTTAGTGAGCAAAATGTTAGACACTTCTTTTTACATTCATTGTCAGCGTTGATGTTCACAACCGGTAGGATGTGTCGGTTTGCCTGGGACTTCCCTGGGAAACTCCTTAGAATCAAGCAAACCAGCATGACTGGCCAACCTAGAAAAACCACATTTTGTTTAGAGTCTTTATTTTACAGAAGAGAGGACTGAACTTCAAAGATGCGCACACACAGTCAACTGCAGAGCACAAGGTCAACACAGATCTTCTGACTCTAAGCTTTGTGTTCTCATTTCTTTATCACGTTGTGTACTCTAGGCTTATGTAAAAAATATATATATATTTATATATATATGTATACATATACATATATTTGGACCTATTTGGGGAAGTTAACTCTGTGTTATGATATAGCAAACCTTGTGAAACATGATTTAACAGGAGATCAAAGGTCATAGATCTGTCTCATTTGTTTCCTTATTTGTAAAAAGAGGATTACAAAAGCATCTATACTACAGATTTCTTTTGAGGAGTAAATAACTAAATTTACACAAAACACCTAGAAACATGACTTTCGCATAATAAACTTACACATCAAATAAGTAAATAAATTAATTATTTAAACAATAAGTAAGCAAATAAATGCACACAGAATAAGATAAGTTTGTGATTATGTTGACACAGTAGAAGGATTTCATAGCAACTAGAAGAGATCCTTAGGGTCAGCATTCATCATCTGAACAACCTTTCTTTGGAGAGAGACTAGATTGCCTGATTTTCGAAATTTCCATGAAGGGATTACAATGTCATCTTTTGTATGAAGGAAAAAAGTCTACAGTTTGCATCTAACCTACTCTTCTGTGATTCAGTAAGAATCTTTTCTTTAGGGAGATGAAAAGAGATAGTCATCATCTTCCCATAATAACTACATCCATATACTTGGATATGGTTATTTCATCTATTGCCTCAACCACAGTTGCCTCTTTTCTTCTTCTCTTGTATTTTCCTTTCTAAGATTCCTCCTGAAGTTAGGTTTTTACAGGTTTTGTTGAAACTGTGGTGAGTTTATTGAACAGTGTGACTCCAGATGGCCCATCGAACCGCAGCACCCTGACTCCAGAAATGGCGGAGCCTGAGAGTCAAGAGGGAGGGCTGTGGATTCAAATCCCAATGCTACCACTTACCACCCATGTGGTCTGGGGCAAGTTACTCTTCCTCTCTATGCCTCAGTTTCTCAATATGTTAAATGTAGAGTTTTTTATGAAACCTAAATAAAATAATCCATACAGGTCATTTAATAAAATGCCTGAAAGAGTCTATAAGACTCTTCAGTATATCATTACTCTCATCCAAGAAGTTATGCTGTTGGCATTTAAAACAAAGTTTTAATTATAATTACTAATATACACTGGCTGTATATCCACTGAGCTGCCTTGACCATCTGTGAGAACATTGCAGAAAGTAGGGAAATGAAAAATTTAGGTCAATGGAATTTCGGGTAAATATGTATAAAGCAACTGTGGATGCTACTTCAACGTATTGAGTAAGGGCATGTGGGCTGGGGTACAGGTGAGGTAGGGAGCATTTGAAACAATACTAGTGCTGGAGTGTCATTCTTAATGCCTCTGTTGAATGTGTATTCCCAGAAGGAGAAGGAGAGAGAAAAGAGTTCTAGTTAAAGAGTCGTGGGACACACAGAATAAGGTAAGTTTTCTCAGAATTGTCATTTTTTGACTCTTTTATGCATCATAAATGTCTTGTAAAGTCAGTCCATTTTGCAGTTAGCAACCTTCTTTTTTATTCTCCTTTCAGTACCCTGGCTGTGTGGTTACCTGTAATTCGAGTATCAATTATTTTCTGAACTATTCTCCTACTATTAATGCCCTTCGAAACTGTTTGTTTTACATTAGTATGAGTAAGGGTGCAGTTAAACTGACATCATCATAACAAACACTGTGCGTTACCAAAATCTGTAATGTTTCCTAGATCTGCCACAATGAAATTACCACGAAGTGGGTGACTTAAAACAGTGGACATCTTATCTCTCACAGTTCTGGAGGGTTGAAGTCCAAAATCAAGGTCTCAGCAGGATCAGTTCTTTCTTGGGATGAGAATCTGTTCCATACTTCTCTCCTAGTTTCTGGTGGTTGTTAGCAATCCTTGGCATTCCTTGGTTTACAGACGCATCGCTCCAATCTTTGCCTGTCTTCACATGGCATTCTTCCCTCTGTGCGTGTGTGTGTGCATGTGCATGTATGCTCGTCTGTGTCTCTTCTCCTCTTCTTATAAGGACTCTTGTAATATTGAACTAAGGCCCACCTTACTCCATTTTGACCTCATCTTATCTACAGTCACGCACTGCATAATGACGTTCGGGTCAATGACAGACTGTGTATACGACAGTGGGCCCATAAGATTAGTACCGTATAGTCTGGGTGTGTAGGAGGTCACACCATCTAGGTTTGTGTAAGTACACTCTGTGTTGTTCGCACAATGAGGAAATTGCCTGACCCATTTCTCAGAACGTATCCCTGTTGTTAAGTGACATGACTGTAATTACACGTGCAACAGCACTATTTCCAGATAAGATCACATTATGAAGGTTTGGGAAGAACGTACATTTTGGAGGGATGCTATCAGACCCAGTATAGGGCATAATAATATTTTTATTTCATAAGGTTACTGTGAGGATTACATTAAACTACATAAAAGGCCCGAAGCATATCAAGCACACAGAAGGACATAATGCATGCTATTCATTAGCATTATTACATTTGGATTAATTTATTAATTCGTGAATACTCAGATTATAAAGCTAAAGAACTTTCTGATGGGCTGCAGGAGTCTGATGAACTGTGACGTTGTTTCACTCTACTTTGCTCCTGACCCTTTTTTGTTTAATTGAAGGAGTAAAAAGTTCCTTCTGGGTTTGCAGGTAAGAGCGATGCTTATTTTCACGCTCATTGTTTCCACTATAGGTCAAATATCTTTAACACATATTACGTGTTGACAAAATTTTACAATAAAACATTCCCCAAGTTGTTATCCAAAATTACATCCATTTTTTTTCAACTTAATTATTTGCAATTGAATTCTACACAGCCAAAATGTCAAGTACTAAAAAGTTTCTGACAATCCAATGTGTGCTTCAGCTTCCTTAATAATCTATCAGTCTAGCCTTTTTCTTCTATTAAGTAGTTACTCTTTGCAAAACAATTTTCTTTTTCTCAATAATTCATGGCTTTCTTTTTGGCCTCAAATGCAAAAACTCACAAAGTTTTGTCTTGTTTCATCTGCCACTCCAGCATGTAATAAAACGGTGCTCTGTTATATATAATTTTTGGATCCCGTCTTTGTCCTTAACTGTTGTCCACTCAAGCCCATCAAAACCAAATTTATTGCTATGAACTTCAGAGAAGGAGAGGAGATTTCAACTTCCTACACTAGTTATTCAGCATTTTCAGGCTTTTGTAGAATCACGATGTTTTGAAGGATGATTAGAAAGTTAGATTGTAAGTTAGACTGTGAAAGACCAAGAAGTTAGACCTACTTGATTCTTTTTTTTAAAACAGGCAATGTAAGTAACAATGGCACTTAAACTTTCCTTTTGCTTTCTCCTTGCAAACACCAAAACCACTCTAAATTTCCAAACTGCTCACTAAAAAAACCTCTCTTTCTCACTCTCCTTCTCATCCTCTCAGTTTATCTCTCACTCTCTCATTTACTCATGCCTACATATTTCCTGTCACATACTTATGTACAGGTGATCAAAGTGACTTGATTAAGAGAGAGAAGATTAATGATTATATAAAATCATCTTGAAAGTGAATGTCAGTTTGTTTTGGTGATGTCTTTCATGGTGTTCAGTTGCTCATTTTTAAGCCAAGACACTGTGTACTTTAAAATATTTCTTGAATTAAGACATTCTTTCAACAGAAATGAATCAGTGCCCACTCTGGGAAAATACTGTACTAGACTTTCCATATAAAAAATGAGAATAATTGTTCTCATCGAAATAGGCCAATATTGGGAAAGGGAGTTCTGCATTTAAACAGTAAGTCATAACAGAGTATAACAAGTGGTAATCTAGGCTGGGTTTCTTTTGGGTCTCACTCAGAGCCTGGCAAATCAAGAATGCGATATACCTTAGAAGTCCAAAACAAAGAAGAATGTTTTATGAAATTATTGGAATGGAATTTGACCTATATTGTGGTTGAATTGAAGAGAGATTTATATTTTGAGCTTTATTAGCTGCTGAAATGCAGTGAATTACTGACATCCTCTGTTTGTCTTTCTAGGCGTCCAACAACTACAGAAGTCCCATCTTTACCAATCAACCTTCAGATGACGCAAGAGAAGATATTTATGTTAACTACCCAACCTTCTCTCGGAGACCAAAGACTAGAGTCTAAGCTTTTTCCTTGATCTGAGCAAATGATGATGACTATTATATACATGGATCTTTATACAATTTCTTCCCACTACTCAGTGTCTAGTTTGGATACTAGTTGACTGAATTTATTTCATTTGTTAAGAAAAATAGGGCATTACCTGGAAAACATTCTTAACAGAAATTTTTCAGAAAACCTGACTTTAATTACCTGTACATAAAAGGAAACTTATTGAATTATGTAATGGAACAATCCGTGGGAAATCAAGCTTCAGGCAAGCATTATTTACCAGGGCTTGCTCGTTGTGTCTAGAATTAAGTATGGGCACAAACTAGTTTCTGCATCCCCTTTCACTGTGTTGGATCCACTTCTTTGGTGTTAGCCTAACTCTCATTCAGGCTTTTCCCTTGTGTTTCCAAGATGACTGCCCAAAACTCTTGGAAATTCATCATCCTTGTTTCTGTCTGGTGGAGAGTTTTCTTCTCTGATAGAGCAAACAAATTCAGTTATTTGTCCATCATTAAACAGTCATCATGGTCAGAAAGGATTAAGGGTTCACCTCTAGAGCTAGAAGTGGGTCCAAAGCACAGTGCTGGGAAATCCACAGTATCGTTAGAAGAGGGAAAGGGGAGCCTGGAAGCTGGCCTGGTTACCGACAAATGTGGACTGCAGTGACATTCCAGGACATCTCTTGTTAGCCAACTAAAAAGAGAATATGTAGGTGGATTTAGGTTAGCTCTCTCTCTACCCTCTTCTAGAATATGCTTTATCAGCTTAGTCCGTAAGTGTAGTTGGCAGTAGAATAAATGAATAGTCAAGAGAAAGATAAATATGACAAGGAAATCTCTTCTCTTTCTATTCTAAAATAAATTCATCTCCAGTTTCATACAGAATTCTTTTTTTTTTTCTTTTTTTTTTTTGAGGACGATCAGCCCTGAGCTAACTACTGCCAGTCTTCCCTTTTTGCTGAGGAATGCTGGTCCTGAGCTAACATCGTGCCCATCTTCCTCTACTTTATACGTGGGACGCCTACCACAGCATGGCGTGCCAAGTGGTGCCATGTCCGTAGCCAGGATCCGAACCTGTGAACCCCGGGCGGCCGAGAAGCGGAACGTGCGAACTTAACCGCTGCACCACCGGCCCGGCCCCTCCATACAGAATTCTTGCCACTATCCCTGGACTAACTTTATGAGCAAGTGTAGTAGACAGTTCAATAATAACTTAATGTTTTTTATATTGAATTATTTTCTACTTTTAAGAATTATTTTTTTATATATAAATTCTCTTGAAAGGGTCAGGCACCTAGGCATTTTTTAAAAAAAAAATAATCATGTGAAATCTAAACACGAGAAAAAGAATGATAGTTGAAAGTGGTGGCATAGGGTGGTAGGATAGAAAAGTGAGGGGAAGAGCTTGGCAGGATATAGCAAAGAAGGAAAAGGGATCAAAGAACGGGAAGACCCAGAGAGAAACTTTCCTTCTTCACAGTTTGGCCAAAGATACACCTAGGGATATCACTTACAGAGCAATTAGAGACCATGCCTGCCATTGTCCACATTCTAGATGGAGGCAAACATTGAAAAGTATTTGTGAAACTCAGTAATGGTTATAGTCACCTTGAAACTACAATGGTCATTTACTCATCTGTAAAGGATCCTCATCTCTGAAAGATTTATCGCAAAAACTGCATTTAAGTACCAATGTTGTAGACTTTTCATGATAATCTTAAGTGAACCAAAACCAAATTCTCATTTTGTCGGACAGATTCTAAGCTGTAATTTACATTTTTAAGCAGGTCAGTGGATATTTTATGATTTTAGCTTTAAATACCATGCATGCCAAATAGTGCAATTATTCTGTGAATTACAGAAATTGTCAATGCCTCTACTTGTTTCAGGGGGGAAAAGATAAAAATGACCACTTCCCAGCTATGTACATGCAAGAAGAGTTAGGTCTCATTTTTATTTTGTTTGCTTAGAGATCTTTATATCTGGACCCATGAAGTGTTTCCACAAATATATTAGTGTAACAGAGCCACAGAAGGCAGTTTACAAGAAAACGATCTAGTGTTTTGTTAACTAAATCAGATCCGTGGAAGTTTCCATGGCTGAATCTATCAGTTTGCATGGTGAAGCAAACTTAGCATCATTTAATAAATAAACTATTTCTTTTTGCTAAAAGTTAATCAAAATATTAGTTTCTGCAAGATTCTAATTCTAAATTCTCAATGTCTAATATAGGTGAGAAGTAAAACCTTTCTACCATTGCAATATGGGGAAATGTAAATCTCATTTTAACTGAGAAAATGACTATTGGGGAATGTGAACAGTACAACCAGGTGTCATTGTCCTTATGGCCTTTACTCGTGGTTTCATGGGGGACTTTTGTGACAAACCCCTTAAGGGTTGCAAAGTCTCCAGGACATTTGAAACTTGTCTCTTTTTCCACGAGTGTTTTAATTTTTCAAAAATTCTCTCACTCAAAATATTTATGAGAACGATTTACTCTGTCACTCCTTGTCTGTGCATTCTTTTTCTGCAGACCTCAGGATTTTTTTAGGGTTTTGGAACCCTGCTAAGTCCTGCTAAAAATTCTCTGACCTCCCTTGTTGATTCTGGTACACTCTCAGCTTATGCTGCTGAAATTCTGTTCATTTGTTTTCTTCCTCTGGATCTCTTTGCTTAACAAAGCACTTTCATTGTAGTCTCTTTAATATTGTATCTAATTTTCTAGAGATTTGTGACTTTGCATAATGTATATATGTATGTGTATATATATATATAACTATACCTACTATATATTATATATGCCATATATGTATTATATAGAGAGAGTATATGGTATATGTATATATAGTGTGTGTGTATATATATATATATATATACACACACACACACTTTTTTTCCAACTCTGTTTATCTACTATTCTGGTTGTTACTAAGGAAACAGATCAAAACAGATCCCCAGAATAAAAGGTCAGAATTGAATGAAACTTATGTTTTAAACCTTTTTTGCCAGGTGCTACTTAGGAAGCAAGATACTTCCTAAAATTCTTTTTTACATATATAATTTATATTGATATATATAATACATTAAATAAAAATCTGTGTTTCCTTTGAATTCCATTGTTGTAATGTTTACATTAAAGTAACCAATTAAAGGGAATTGCTGTGTGATAACAAGGTAGGTAAGTTTGTTAAATGTTATCACAGAGCACACAGTTTTGTCAGGGAAAGAATGTATCTTATTAACCTGCAATGACTAGGTATTGATTATATTATCATTAGAGAGACCTTGGAACATTATTTAAAGGCCTGTATGCACGTGGAGAGAATAGAATAGAGATTTCATTAGCTTGTAATCACGCTTATGGATGGAAGGCTGGTAGATGAGGCTAAATTTTTGGTTAGTAAACATTCAAATTTATAGAATGTTTTAAGTAATTCTCTTTATTACTAAAAATATTATACATATAAATTTAAAATATATTGATTACCAATTTATAATATATTGTAAAATAAAAATAATTTTAGTAGGTTTACTCTTATTGTGAACATCCAAGTTATGTTGGTTTAGTTAGACCTATATTAAATAAAAACTGCAACTGCATTGCAGTAATTTTCTGAATGGGTAGAGTCCACATTGTAATTAGAAATCACTGTAATCAAAATCCTTCTCCTTGATTTATAATAATGTGCTGTATTTTGTACTGTTTATATGAAATTTCAGCAAGATTGAAGATATTGTAGAATTAAGATGGTTATAAGTATAAGTGGAGGTGCTAAATTATGAGTACGAAGTTTAGCTTCTTTCTACCATAGTGATAAGAAAATATTTTTGAGAAATATAAAACAGTTTGAACATGTAACAATTGTTTTATTATCATCATTAGTTTGGCCACTGTTAGAATGGAATGTCTGGAATGTATTGACCTTCACATTTAGACTTTTGCATAAATTAGTATATTTTTTCATTGGTCTGTTCATTGGAATTATTCTAAGCCAAGTCTCTAGGCACTTATACATTTATCTGAAAAACAAAAACAAGTTTTTTTAAAAACACTTTTCTATTGCTAGTGATCCAAGAAGCAGAAGTGTGGCTTCTAAAATTAACTGCAATGGGAATTTTTATAAATCTTCAACATTGGTTTACATGTTATATTTCTTTCAGATTCAGAGCACTAACTATGTTGTAAGATGTAAGAAAAGATTTGATTTGGGGGTATGAGTGATAAATGTCTGAAATAATCTCCGATTATTGCCTATTGTCCCTGTTTGAATACTAAGTTATATAGTCACCCTCTTTAGATCATTTTTTTCAAGTTTTATATTTAATTTCAGACTCTCGGGTATTATAGGGCATGCAAATATTTGTATTCTGTTGCTTGAATGACTAAAATGCAGTGCTCCACGATCTTTAGTGTCATTTGCTATCAAAGAATATTAGGGAAAAATTCCTACACGATAATATTAACATGGAGAGTTATTGCGGAAAATAATTGAAACCACTGACACTTTGCAACTTCCATCTCAATGCAACATTCGCTGCGTCTTATAAGTGCATGTAGTTCAAAGACTCAAAGACATACAAGGGTTTTTTGCAAAAAAAATTGTAGTTCCTGCCCTTCCCATTTTCCCTCCATTGAGACAACAAATTTCACTTCTGATTATTTTATCTCTCTACTTTTCCGAATAGCATGTTTATATCACTACTAGATTTTTGCAATTTTAGACATTATTGATTTAGATGTTTTCCTCTCCACAAACCCACCACACATACAAACTCATGTAAATATTCTTCCAAAATATTTATGTTAAAATTTTGATTACTTCAATATTGTTTTTTTTATGACCTTGCCAAGGCTCTTCCCAGTTGAATTACATGGTAAAAATGATTGTGCTTTCTCTCCTACATAAATTTTTTTCCACCTAGAGTTAGCAATTATCTCGTTTTAGCTTACTATATTTGTATTTACCATAAATTTATCTCAGATTCTTCTCCGGTGGTCTAAATGATCTCTCCAGATTCTCTGTGATACAAAAGATAGTGCAACAATCTCATCTACCTAAAAAAGTTACCCTAGAACCTTGACTTGGGCCAATAAGCAGTGGTTCTTTCTGCGTAGCTGTCATCCTGATGTCTCTCTTCATTCAGAAAAAAGGAGAGGAATGTAAAGCATGGAACCAATTCTAGAAAATTCCCCAGTGCAAAGCAATATGAGGTTTCAGATTGCAAGTATTTAACCAGTGCCCAGAACGGGGAACAGGAAGAAGCCTGTTCTATTTGGGTTGGTCTCGGTAAAAGTTGGGGGTATTCGTTGTAAGCTTTGGGAGCTGATGTTGACTATGTTATGGAAAAAACAGTTAATTTATTTCAGTGATATGGGTGACTCTTAGTAGTACCAGGACACTCATGGAATAAGCTTGGACAACAGGCAGAGCATTTGGCAACTCCAGTGGTCCCCAGCAGGACGCACAACTACCACTTTGAGTTCCGATATTCTGGCTGGAACAGTGTGCCTCTAGCCTGAAAGACATCGCTCTCCCACACGTGGATGAGTTCTGAACACCACTTTTTATTTACCTCACTTGTTCCAGAATCAGTGCCCCTTACAGATTTCAGCGAGGAGATATCTGCTGCCTTCAGCTTCTATAGTGTCGGGGGTGGGAGAATAACTTATTTTCCAGATAATATGTATAATATCATATTCCTCCCAAGGTTGCTGAAGGACTTCTGAAACTGACAAATTTCTCTGTTCACCAGATGATAATTTTATTCATGGCAGGGTAAACCCATAGACTTTTTATATAAGTTCAGTACCTTATATAATACCTGTGGTTGTTATAGGTGTATCCAAATAAATCCAAGGTTGTTTTTGAATAAATTGGTGAATAAACAAATAAATACAAGTTAGT